ATTCAGAATACTTATATGGCCGTCTAAGAAACAAGAAATGCTAAATTTTTTATCCATGCATCATTATGTAGGTTGTTAATGGTTTCACTTTTTGTATGATGAAAATTTTGAATTTATTTATTAAATCAAAAAGCCATTTTAAGCTCCTCAACAAAACATTCTCTCCCTCATTTATAATAAATCGTTCTTTTGTACTCACTTTCAATTTCTTTAAGCAATGGAACCAATTCTGGATGATTCAGACATCGTTCATGAATAGAGTACACAAACTTTTCCCACAAGTGCTTCTTTTTAAACAATGGAATGCATAGTGCATACATTATTCTGAAATTTCTTTTCTTTCATTATGTTTCTTAATTTTACCACTACTTCAGTTTTAATCAATCATAGAAGCTGCACTATTTCTTTAAAACCCAACACATCTATCCCAGCTTTATACATATCTATCACAGATGTTGTTTCAGAAAATCTATACTTTGCTCCAGTTTTCCCTTTCATATGAATAATTTCAAATAATTCCTCAATTACTTCAAATTCATCAGTAACATATCTTATGAAACTGGTAAGTTGTGATTTGTGATGCCAATACCCTCACCTAGTACTTTTGAGAATGTTGCGAAATTTATCTCAATATATATATTTTTAATTGGCATCATAAATAACTTGTGATTTTGATTCTGCGACCATATCGGCTGAAAAGCTAATTAATATTTTAAATAATTGTTTTGTCAGGACAAAGAAGTTTACCAGAATTAGTCAAACAATCCTTAAGGAATTCATCACCAGTACATGGTTCAGACCATTTTGTAATGATTTGTGCGGAAGAAAAACTTACGTGAACTTACTACGTTACTTATTTGTTTAGTAAAAAAAAAGAAATTATTACTGTCAGCCAGATTTCAATAACTGTTACTTTTCTTCTCTCAGTTTGCCTTTCTAAATTTCAAATTTTTCTTTATAATTCATTTTGTAATGACAATACAGCTGTATTCAAAGCAGATATTCCCTTACTACAAATAAAGCACACAATTTTATTGAGAATACCACCACTAATTTACCCATTTGTCTTTTAAAACAAATCCTTCAACCATTTTTCTTTTATTCTTCAATAAAAATATGGTTACAGTTTAATCTGTTACTTAAAACGACAGTTATAAACTTTTATCTACATATTGAATTTAAGAGGCTGAATTTTCTTATAAAAACAAAATTCAAAAGTTATGCACAATTCTAAACACAGGTATTGATAGAATGTAGATCTAACTACACAGCTTTTATAAGTTATACATTAGTTTGCTTCCATCTATATAGCAATGTGAACTTCACAGTTACATCCCACTAACCAACTAAGTATACATCAAAAAGATCAATTCAATAGAAAAACAGTTGGAAACACCAGAATACAATACATTCATCAACTATTAATTGGTGTACTCAATTCACTCATAGTACTGACATGGAGATTTCTCCCACCTCTCCAACATTCCTTTTCCAAATAACACCACCGTAGATGAATCAGTGATATGACTGACATGAAAGAGACAATTATTAGTCATTTGAGGTGTACCAAATTCATAATAAAAATGAAAGAAAATCCTGACATTGATTAGATATCATCAGGTTGGTGATTTTAATACTATTTGCTTGTTATGTTCAGCACTTAATTTCTAAAATTAGAGGTGCTGGACCTCTACGTAAGAAGAAAATAATTTAAAATTTTAAAAAATTCAATAATTAAACCAAAATTAAAAGAAATGTAAAGAGATAATTGAAATTTAATAAATTATGAAATTAATTATAAATAATTAAATTGTAGGGATTTATATTTATTTTAACTAACAAGTTAAAGTTTAATTTTAAACTTTTCTATAAGCCTTCATTTCCCTAATTGCCAGTGCCAGAATATTTAAATTTTGTAGCGCATGTGTGGAGGAATGCAAATACTTTGAAGAAAGTATTTAAAAGGCTAGTTTCAGTGGGAAAGAGAAGAGAGTTAGGCTAGCCTCCACCTCTGCTGTAGATACGTTTGCTTATTGCTGGTTCATGTGGCTTAATTGCATTTACTTGCTGCCTCTAGTTTTGAAGGGGATTTAAGTAACAGGATCTCGCTGAGCCCTGTAGTTTAGTTCTATCATTTGTTAATATCTTCAAATTTTTAATTTCGTTATCTGATTTTCAGTTACCAAAATAAAGAGAGAAGAGCAAGACTTTTTGACAGCGATCTCCCATTGATATAATTTTAGCCGCCAAATGGAAATTTTCCCTGAATATTATCCATTAACAATGTGAGAATAAACATGACTCCTCTGTACTAATCACAGTAGTGGTCCTCTGAATTTGGTCACATCATTCAAAAAGTCTACTATAGGTCCCCAGTAGGAATTCATTAGCGTGACATGTGCATCACCAGGGTATCACTTTCAGTATTTTCAGAATGAAAAATTTACTCGCTCTCATAAATCATGGCACTTTCTGGAGAATAAGTTGACATGTGAGCGGGGGCTTTTCTTAAGTCAATCTCTGTCCAAAGTTTGTGTCCGAGGAAAAAACCAGGCTTGCATTCAGAAGTTAGAATGGAATTTTAAGGCATAATTGTTATTAAAATTAAATTTGTCTTTTGAAATTGGGGTTCACTTACAGAAAGGAAGTGTCGGAGCCCTTTCATTTAGAGCTCCGATGCGCTCTGGTTAAAACTATGACTTATCTCAATAACTGAGAAGTACCAAAGCCAGTCTCCGATTGGCTCCAGTGCAGTTTAAGCTCTGGTTATGTTTACTTATAAAGTTATTGAGAAGACTTTCTCTGGAGACCACTATAAACCAACACATCAGGCAAATGGTGTGGCATAGTTTTACTGAAGAGGACTTGGTATGAAGAAAACTGCAATCTTCTCTAAGAAACCGTACACACATAATGGTGGTGGCTCTCTTAGAATGGTGAAATTCAGTGCTGATGTTTATTTATGTACTTTGAAACAGTGATAATTTTTAGAAGTGGTCATCTTAGAGAGATGGCTGTTTAAGATAGGGTTTCTATCTTTCTATATTCTTTGAAACAGTGATAATTTTTAGAAGTGGTCATCTTAGAGAGATGGCTGTTTAAGATAGGGTTTCTTGTATTTGAAATAAGAAGACTAATGATATAATTTGAAAGCTGATGAGTAACATAATTGTTAATATTCTTTAATAAATTTACAGTAAGTACAATATGTAACAGCAGCTGGTGCAGCCTATTATTATAGCTAATTCATAATTATTTAAGCTAGAAAATTATTCATTATTAAAAAATAGTTAAAAATATTACGCTACTTTTATTGATAAAAAAGTACTTATTTACCATTGTTTAAAATCAGCTAAAGATATTCAACTGATTTTTTTTTTAACATACTCTTAGAAAATCTGTGAACACAAAATAATTATTTCATTTAATACAATAATTTAAGAAATTTCAAAATTTTTTATAGTTTCATTTAAAATTAAAATATAATAATTTAATACACAAAACTAATGTATTCCGGCAAAGTATGAAACACCAGCATTCTATAGAATGCCTAGGCATTGTATATAATGCCCGATGATTTTAGGCAAAGTATGAAATAAGAGAATTATTACATAATTTACCTAGGCATTATATATAATACCTAGGCATTCTATAGAATGACAAATGCTCTCTAAGCAAAGTATGGAACAAAAAAAGGTTATGAGAAGACTATTTATTTTATTTATTAGTCAAATGCCAGTTACATTGGCCGTTAGGCTATTAAACTCCTTGCTTGCCAATAGCGCTGAAATTTAAAAGAAAAATTAATCAGTGCTTCACACTCGTCCACATGTTCCACCGTCATTGGTCGTCCACTATTACATAAAACACACAATGGCATATCAGGTAGTTCAATGCAAAATAAATGAGACGACTATTATTTAAAAGACGTTCATTCCTCCAAAATACAAATGTTATTTTGAAAAATTAATGAATGAGTGTCATTAAAAAACTGTTCTTTGAAATACGTAAAAAAAAAGGATAGTGTATATTTTCTGTCTGGCTGAGCCTGGAACTGGTAAGATCTACCTGACAACGGAAGTTAAATTCAAAACAATCATAAGTTTCATATCAGTGCTCCTTTTAACTCCTTTACGTTTTTTCTCGCAGGGCTCACAAAGGTGGTTGTTACAGTTCAATACCATTACGTGTAATATTTTTGTAATTGGTTCAAAGTTCTTTCGACATTCTGTCACATCAATCCTGTGCAGTACTCAAATGAGTTTTCGTGAAATACGGAAAATAACTTAGCATCTGTGATGTAATACTGTATAGTAGTAATGCTTTCTTTAACAAGGTAAATGAATGCACTTTTGTTTTCTACAAACATCTTATCCTAGCGATTCAGCAGCTAGTAGTTCCGTGGTTCCTTCTTAGTAGACATTTTGGCTTTTTTACATCATTTACTAACTTCTGATAAGTAGTTTCGGTTCTTCAAAATGAATCAAAAATGAATTTCATAATTTGCTGGTTTGTCGTTTGGCATTCTAGAGAATGCTAAAAAATGTGTGAAATATGAAGCGTTTTTCATACATTGCCAGCTAGTTTCAGGCATTATATGGAATGCCGATTTCATACTTTGCTGGTAACATATATGCTATACAATGCACTATCCGGAACCAACAAATTTCAGATAATTTATGTATGAATTATTATAATTTTTACACTTTTAATGAGTCAAATATTTATCAACTTAAACTGATATTCTAAAATTACATCAAAACACTGAAATTTTTGCATAACAAAAAATTGCTTAATAAAATAGCCTGAAATTTTTGCTGTCAAAAATAGTCTGAAATTAAAAAAAATACACAGATATCATTAAGAACTCAATAATTACTATAATATTCAAGACTTAAATTGTAATTAGTGTATGGAATTTTATAAATGCTGATGGTGAGAAGAATGAATGGAGCATAAGAATCAATCAGAACAAAATAATTCATATTTACATTATTTCACAAAATACATTTTTAATATAGTTTAAAATACATACAAAACACTAATTATTCGAAAATAATTTTCAATAATACAACATGAGCTGGAAAAAACTACTCTGAACCAATTTATAGCATTTTAAATTTATGATTAATTTATATTTCCAGAAAAATGTATGCAAAGATATTCGAAACCACTCTGATATAAATAAAACAGTCAAATTTCAATCTAGTTCTTCAAATAGTTTTATGTGCTGAAGCTTCAAAACCTAAAAGCAAATTTAAAAAATATACTTTCAATTTTAGGTTTTTTCTAAAAAATATTTTATTTATAAATTTATAAATATTTAAAATATTTTTTTTATTTTATTCATTAAGTAATTTTATTACATTTAATAAAGTGACTGTTTAATAATTTCACTTAAAATTAAAATTCAAATGAAATAAATGAATAACTTTTTAAAAATTATTATACATTAAATGATTTTACAAGTAATTATAGAGTTAAGAAGGAATAAAAACTAGCTGAACAATTTCATACAATTATTAAGTGTATATTTCTAAAATTGCAAAATAATAACATGAACTATTATTAGTAGCAAGAAAAGAGTTAAAGGAAAAGGGAACAAAGAATGCCAATCCCTGTACTTCAAACACTTAAATTTAATATTATTAAAAAAAAATCTTATAAGATGAGCATCCATAACATTTCCAACATTAGCCCTTTGCAGAAGTGAAAGGAAGTTTCACCTGTGTAACTATATGAATATGCAAAACTTGAAAACTGCATGCATTGGCCAAATGTTAATTGTAGTGCTATAGCACTGTAGCTCTTATTTAAATATTAAACTGTATACTATTTTTTGATCAAATTTTTTACTGACTTAAGTACACATAAAATACAGATCAATAGCTTTAAACCAACTGTAATGCTGAATCTCTTAAGCATTAATTCGCTGATGATTTTAAATACACTTTTGAGGAACAGAATTATCAGCATAAGCTAAGTTAGAATTTTTAAATTATGATGAAAATTCATCATTAAAATTTACTTATTGATAAGAAAAATTCAGTTACTTATTCATAATTTCAAATGAAAATGAATTCCATCCTAAGTAGCCTCTTTAAGTTTCCAAAACTTTCATTAGCACTTATATTTATTATATCTTCCATCTCTTTTGCCCTGCCATACTGTGCCTAATATGTCATCAGATTATACTGGAAATTAACTCATTTTTATTTAGAAGAAAACCATTTCTTTGATGTAGGAATATCACTTGCTTAAAGTATTCTCCAGTAAATTTTATCTCCTAGCATGCCAAAATCTGAATCTTAATCTTTTTATATCACCAGCTCTCTGCATTGAAACCTAAACTATTATGGTTTTCAAGTTCAAAATTTTGCTTTATATTAAAAATCATGTAATAATAACAACACATACATGAAAATTGATTCTAAATTCAGGTTAACTGACCATTCATAAATCAATATCAAGTTATTCTTAATTTAGAAACAGAAATTTTTGCATAGAAAACAAAAGAAAGAAATTAATAAGGATTTAACATTTATGGTTTATACAATACCTCATTTCCTACACTAGTCCATCCAGGCAGTAAATAACGAGCAAACAATTCCAGACACTTTGATTGTTTAGGAATATATGGTTTTAATATTTCTGTAATAAGATTGAAATGTCAGTTGAAATAGCATTAAAATGATGATAAGTGAGAAAACAGTTTTACAATTACAAAAACCACACATCCTGTACAGGTATAATAAGCATAAAAATACAGTCAAAAGTCGTTAATTCGGACACCCATAATCCGGACCTCAAAGCTACAAACTTTCTGCGCATGCGTCGCGTTAACGCATGCACGTAAGACCTTTACCGCTGCGAATTTGCGTGTGCGTGTGCGCAAAATACGTTTACGAATGCGCATTTAATGTATAACGGATGGGATAAGCTAAGCTAAAATTATCTAATTATCTATTTCAGTTAATGTTGCAGATTGCGTTGTTCCTTAATCTTCGAATTGAATCCGGATTATTATTTTTTGCAGACTGTTAGAGCAATTTTATAAAAGTAATTCGATTATGTCAAATAGAATTCCCGATATATGGATTTACTAATATGCCAAAGGATATACAAAGCGAAAGTATGTTTCGATGTCCATCAAACAAAAAGTGGAATTGCTGCAAAAAATGGATAAAGGCATATTTTTTGTTTATCTAAACTTTGTTTATCTTTAACGCCACGGCAGCGTGCAATGAATTGGAAGTTGATTTGTCAGCACTATCCTTATCTTAAGGGCAGATGTTTTTATTTTATTTGGCTTATAATTGCTTACTCAATGTAGTATTTCATTTTGATGTACTCCATCTTTGATATGATTTAAATCAAATGCCTCGTCATTATAATTCGCTTCCGATAGCGAAGAAAGTGACATAGGTTATTGAAAACGAAAAAATTTCGATTGACAAATTAGTCCGTATTCTCGACACAGCAATTATAGAACTTGAACAGTGGAACTTTGTAACTGAACAAGAAATTATGTCTGTTTATAGAATTAAAGAGAATGTATTATCACATAAAAAACGAAGCAACTGAAACAACTTACATTGAAAGAAATGTTTAATAAAGTAAACAAATAAATATTAAGCTTTTTTTTTTTTTTTTTTTTTTTTTTTTTTTTTTGTAAATTTTGATACCCTTTAGATCATAATTGTTCTTTATTTCGTAAATTACGGTTTCATATTTTTAATTTTATAATTTCTGCATTCCATTTTACAAGATTTAAACTGATGATCTATAATCCGGAAAAATCGATAATCCGGAATCGCCGAAGTCCCGACGAGTCCGGATTAACGACTTTTGACTGTATATCCATTTGGCTACAATATATATGTTATGGTAAAAGTAATAAATCTGGTGATTATATTAAATTACCGGTGATTATACATAATCACCACTAAATTTGGTAAATATGACATATTTATAAAATTTACCGGTTACTTTATAAAATCCTCAACTCATAATGGGGAATGTGATAAAAGTCCCTAACTTTACGAAAATTCTATTTCATATCTATCAAATTTACCGGTTAGTTTATAAAATCCCCAATTCATAATGGGGAATGTGATAAAAGTTCCTAACTTTACGAAAATTCGTTAAGTTTGTGCAACTGCTTGGAAACTTGCCCTTTTTCGGAGCAACTTGCTCTGAAACACGTGATTTCAGTAGTTCCAATTTCGTTGCATGTAGACATTTTTTCGCTACCCTCTCGTAAAAAAATAAAACATTGAATAATGGCTGGTATACTAGAGTGTTTTAATTCCAAATTACTTAATATTATGGATACTAAGAAAACAAACAGTGGTTGTCTGACGAAAGAAAGGTATGATGATTTGTTAAAAAAAGTGAATAATAGTAAAAACAAAAGTAGTGGGAAAATTCAGAAGATTATCAGAGACTAAAAAGACATGATGTAATGAAAGTAGGCAATGTTGAAGCACTTGTCCTTTCCGTAAGTGAAGACAGCTCCAATGTTAGATTTTACGTGTACTTTGAGGAAATTTTTACTATAATTCATGAGGTACACTTATCAATAGGCAATAGTGGTAGAAACAGGATGTTAAAAGAACTTCAAAAAAAGTACAAAAACATTACTACCGAAGAAGTCATGATTTACTTAAATTTATGTGAAAGTAGCAAGACTTGTTGGGGAAAAAAAAAAAAAAAAAAAAAAAAACCAAGGTACCTAAGAGGGATTTGTTGTTAGGCCAATGGTCTTTCAAGAGATGAACTCAAGATGCCAGGTGGACCTAATTGACAGGCAGTCACAACCAGATAATGACTTTAAGTTTATATTTGTGCATCAAGACCACTTGACGAAGTTCGTACAATTGCGTGCCCTAAAAAGCAAACGTGCAGAAGAAGTTGCATGTCATCTAATTGATATTTTTACTATATTTGGAGCCCCTAGTGTACTGAAAAAACACAACGGTCATGAGTTTAGTAACAAAATTGTAGAAAAAACCTGTACAATGTGGCCGGATATGAAAATTGTGCACGGTAAACCTAGGCACAGCCAGACTCAAGGTTTGGTTAAAGGTGTAAACCAGGATATTGAAAATATGCTAAGTTCTTGGTTGGAAAGCAATCACACCAATAAATGGCCCAAAGGGTTATGTTTTGTGCAACTTATGAAAAATAGAGCATTTCATGAAGGCATCAAGTATTCTCCTTATGAAGCAATGTTTGGGATGTCTGTTTGGGATGTTTGATCCAGACAGATATTTTATGCAGGTAAGAGCAAGTAAGAAAACATAGAATGAGTGCTAAAGACGGTTTAGAATTGCAAGCAAAGAAAATGTTGAAGGTTTCAAATCTTAAATTTCCTGCTGGTAAAGTTGGTGACACAGTGAAATTACGAATACCAGACTTTGAAAGAGGAAGAAGTGATCCCCGAAATTTATTAGTGGTGATATTAGAAGTTGAAACTGAAGAGTTTTATCAGTTAGGAATGACACAAAGAAGACTTTCACAGTTGTATACCAGAAATCAATTCACAATTTGTGAAGAAAAATTTATTTTGCTTGGCGATCGATGTTCCAGATCTAGCAATATCACTTCGAGAATGCGTTAGTAAGACATCTTTATCTGGAGGTCAGGGATATCAGCGATGTGTTTGTAAGGGACAATGCGAGTCTGATAAGTGAAAATGTAAAAAATCTGGAAAACTTTGTAATTCTAAATGTCATAATAGTCTAATATACTTAAATAAGTAAACTTAAAATATTTAGTAATTCGTAATATCATTTAACGTTATTTGAGAAAAAAAAAAAAATTTTTCCCTCTAAAATATGGGCTTAGTTTCTTTTTTTATATGTAACTACAGTTTTTTTTTTTTTTTTTTTTATGTGCAACTGTTTTGTACAAGCTTATGTAAATTGCATTTTTTTCATTTCACAACACCTGTCAGACCCTTATTCAAATTTCATTCAGGCTAAATAAATGTATGTGACCTAAAATAACCACTTATTGACATTTTAAATGTAAAATATACAATATTGTAATTTGTGGTCTCTTACATCACATTGTCCAACCAAAAACTATCTTTCTGAGTAGTAACTACAAAAAAAAAAAAAAAAAAACAACCACCTGCACTTTATTCTATTGGCCCAATAAGTCATGATATTTCTCACATTTACCATTACGAGTTGGATATTTCCCATATTTAGTGGTGATTATGATGGTAAGTGCAAATGTAAAAAATCTGGCAAGCTTTGTAATTCTAAAACAGTCTAATATGTCTAAAGAAGTAAACTTACATGTAAATGCAAATAAATAATTTTTCCCCCATAGAATATGGGTTTGGTTTGTTTCCACAGAATAATCTGAATTTATTACCTTCCCCATTACGAGTTGGGGAATTTATTATTTGATAAATATGAAATAATTTATCATATTTACCAAATTCAGTGGTGATTATGTTTAATCATTGGTAATTTTATATAATCACCAATTTATCATTTTTACTGTAACATATACATTATTCGCCTGCACATTAATTTGCCTGCTTCATTAAATTTGTGCACTTTTTAGATAAGAACTAAAACAGAACCACTATTTAAAACATATTTGGAAGCACTGTAAACAGTTATAATCAACAGGAGCTCAAAATCATAATTTACTGAATAGAAAGCAAAATAGCCCCAACTCTATCAGGCAAATTTGAATATTAAATTTGTATGCAACTGACAGAGAACAAAATTTTCCAAAGCATAATAGAAGACTATGTGAATGCATTTTTATGAGAAAGATATTAGATATTATGAAATTAGTAATTTTAAGCAAATTATTTTAGACTACAGAAAAATAATCATCAAATAGCATGTTAAGGATTAAAAGTGATTTCAAATGTAAAATACAAGAAATCTTCGTATGAAAAACGATTCTCTAAAAAATAAACTACTCCCTTTTGGGATATTTCATCGATGAATGGGGAGAAGAAAAGTCATAAACATAAAAATTTTATTTCTTTAAATTTCCTTTAAATATATATATAATATAATCAATTAATCAATACTGTTTAGGAAATAAATTATTATTCTAACTTTGCAGCAATTGCGCAAGTAATAAAAACTTGTATTCGCACTAAATGGATTTAAGTTCATACAACATTATATATATATATATATATAATTTATTTACTAAAGAAATATTTAATACTTTTTGGAAAATAAAAATTACTAACTTACCCATTAAGGGAGGCTTATGGGAATGAATGCTACTAGGGACACTCACAATGACTTTGTTTGACTTTAAGGCAGGAAAAGAATATGCATTGCAGCTTCTTTCATCAAAAGCTACCCTTCCTAACAGTATATTTTCATATGGCTTTTTGTGATGTGAATTAATGGGATGTATAAAATGTCCTTTTTGTGTTACCTAAAAAATTATCAAACAAAACCTAACAAATTTAAAGATTAAAAATACTCATAATTTTTAATGAAAGATGATACCAGTAATGCAGAATCTTACTTTAGACCAGTGCCAAATAGCAGAGGATGCCACTTTCCACTGTACAAATAACTCATCTTTAACAAAATTAATTTGCTTCTCATTATTTGTAACCCAAACTATGATAAGACACCCAGGATTTAAAAATTCTTCGATAGGTAAATCTCGCAGTGACTCACAGGTTAACATAGGGTACCTAAAATGAATTATGTATTAATATTAATAAAATGTGAATTTCATCAAAGTATAAACATATAAATTTTTCTTAAAGATTTATGGAATAGCAGATCTAAAATAAAATACATTCAGGAATTCAAGTGCAAAATACAGGGTGTTTCATAAATTTGAACAAATTTTGAAAAATTATATTAAGTGAGCAAATTGTTTAAGAATGTGGCTTTCACTTAAAAATTTATTATATAAGTGGACTTATTTTAGGCACAAGCTAAAATTTCCCCAATAGATACCACTATATGATAATACTACTGGGAAAATATGCAAATTCAAATCCATTAAAAGATAGAGTGAAGCTAAGATATAAAAAGCAAAAATGAGACTTTATGTTCTACTATTTCTTTATTATTTATTAATATTGTAGCATGGTTTCAAATGATGTGTAAGCTTAACTTTTCTCACTCTATTTATGCAACAGAACATCAAAAGTCCATACAACCTGCAGCCTAAAGTTATGCAAATTTTAGGTCATGAATGAAAAATCCCTAGATTTAAAAAAAGAAAAATAAATACAAATTTTTAAAAAATCACATTAAAACCATTAATTTCAATGTAACACTTTTTCACAGAGAAATATTTATTAAATATACAGAGGAGCCTTAGATAATGAATGCCTTAGTTCTCAAACAACTTGTTCATGAACAAATTATCTGAATAAAAGAAGCACCTAGAAGATGAATGGTATCTCGATTTATGAACACTCAAGTTGACAACAATGAAGATTTCAAAAGCAGTTTTGTAATCTTAACTTTTCTCACTCTATTTATACAATAGAACATCAAAAGTCCATACAACCTGCAGCCTCAAGTTATGCAAATTTTAGGTCATGAATGAAAAATCATTAGATTTAAAAGGAAAAATAAATACAAATTTTTACTATGCCACATATTAACATTCAGAGACTTCTTGAAGCATTATTTTAATATCAGGATATATAAATTCTTATTAATTAATAACAGCTTACAGGACCATGAAGCTGGCTTAGAGGGAATTATGGCTAAACTAGGTTGCAGGCAGAGACTTTCAGCACTTCACGCTTAGGACTGCTTCTGTTATCTGTAATACTGTGTCTTTAGGCAAAATCATGAGCTAGGAAGTTTCATTAAAGATGAGCAGAAGTTACTAGAGGACCGTGACAATGAGCTCAACAAGAAAGAACTATAATTTTAGAAGCAACAACAACAGATGCTACTGAGGAAGAAATATCTTTAGAAAGAAAGATGCAGGGAGGTAGGGGGAAGATCTTAATTCATTTGTCTATGAAACTTGGGGGAAAAGTTTTCGTGCAATAATATCACTCTGATATAGCAACAGCAATCAGAGCATAAACACTTTAAGGAAAACTACAGCATAAACATTTTAGAGAAAACTACAGCATAAACATTTTCAGTGACAATGCTATGTCTCATTTTAAATACCTTTAGAAATGCAGGTAACAACAAGTTGTACTGGACAAATTTTAAGTGAAATGTAGGCCAAGGAAGAAAAGACAAAAGGAGATGCCTAATAAGGCAGTTACCTGATGTTTCATAGAAAGAAATTTTTGTATGCAAACAATAATAGCATTTTCATAATTTTCTGCTTTCTGATCACTCTCCTTACAAGTACAGCAAAATTAAGTTTTCATCTGTTTTATCTGTTTAACATTATGTTAACCTTTTTTATTTTATTTTATTTTTAAAAAATAATTACAGATTTTCATTAGCTCTGGGTTATGAACTTGAGCACAAAATATTATTGTAAAATTTAAATAAGCACATATCACCTGCGATCCAGAAATGAACTAACACATTTTACATTAATTTTTTATGGGGAAAATTGTTTCAGTTTACAAATATTTCATTTGATGAATGGCCTTCAGGAATGAATTAAATTCATGAACCAAGGTTTCACAGTATTAGCATTCTACATAATAAATAAATAAATAAAAAGAATACAAAAAAATAATTTTTACAGTTTTCAAATATCTGCTAGCAGCTGTTTGCTTTAAAATTTTACTTAAATTTTAAAGCAAATAGCTGCTAGTTAAAAATTTAATATTTTAGGATATTCTAGCTTGACCCACTCCTTACCACAAAATCATTATTTCCTGATTAATTATGCCCACCAGTGGCTGAGTGGTTAAGTTGCCAAACAATGGTAGTTCAGTCCGGAGTTTGAATCCCGTTCCCCCCCCTATGTGTAACATGCATATGAGTTAGTTTCCCTTAGAAATCCTCCACGAAGGTATCCCTCTGCTTAGGCAGATAACCCTTGAGTGCTTTGCTATAAATAAAATAAATTATTCCTGTTAAATTACACAGTTTTGTTATTCTGAATTTTTATTTTTTGTAAATTACTTGAAAATCAAGGGTTTGTTTAAAATTTACCACTGTAGAACAAAAAATGATATTTTTATTTTACTTCTAGTCATAACACTTAAAATTCCCCCCTCTTTGTTCTTAAACATTAATGAGACAGCAGTTATTGTCAAGCATAAATTTTTGCACAAAATGCAGTCTGAAATAATAAAGGCAAACCTTATGAAAATTTAAGATGTATCTAGAATATGGTAGTTTCCATTAATACTGAATGAGGAAACCCATCACTAGTAATGTAATAAATCACCAAAGCCATCCACATATCACAACTGATGTTTGACAGGCTATGCAGATTTCAGGAACTGGTAATTTTTTTTCCCTGTAAGATGATATTAATAATGTTCATCTATTGATGAAAATGTGAACTAAAATGTATTCTTATGCTCTCTTCTAGAAAAAATACTCTGTCTCATTGATGGGTCTTCAGGTACAAACCACATTCTGATATGCTAATTTGTTATAATATATTTTAGTACTTAATTTCTGTGCCTAAATTTTATGGATGGTCTTCTGGTTTCCCCATGTGGAAATGTCCTTAGGTACCCAAATGTGCCTAAATTCGTAAATCGGTGCCGGGGTTCACATTCTGTATGCTAAGTTATTTATAACCATTTTGTTTTGTGTACAAATTCTGGTTCTCCCACATTACACTGTTCATTATTTACTTATGGTGAGAATTTATACTTTTTTTAAAAAATAACCACATAAAAAGTTTAACTCTTTAATTATTCATAAAAATTGATCTAAATACTTAATCATAAAAACTGATCTAAATATTTAATTTTAAAGGATACTATATTTAACAATTTTTCAGTGACAGGACACCCAACTAATTGTTCTCCTTCATCAATTCAAAACAAATTAGGATAATGTGGAGCTTTATATTTAATTTCATTCTGTAATATTTTTTAATTTACTAGTATGTAACATACCTAATTTGCAGTTTTGTTATATATAGTATGCCAAAAGAATTTTCTTGTAAGTAATTCATAAGCTTTTGAATGTTAATATACATTATTAATATTCTTACGCAGTTTTATTTCCTTAGAATTCTATATCTAACAATCAGCATAAAATTCATTAAATTAGAACTCTTTATTTATTCTTAATTTATAAAAATAATTCTAAGAGTTGGTATATATACTGATGTCTGCTTCTATTTTCACAACAGGAATTCTACAAGATGTTCTGAATAAGATTTTTGAAAAAAATTATTGTAAGCAACACTTTTTCATGGACTCAATCTATACATTACAAGTATGAAGGGAAGAAAACTGAAAACAGATTAATAAGTAGGAGCAAGAGGCACATAAGGAAGGATTGATCAATAAGGCACTTTGAAGGAACAGGGATCTTTTAATAAATTAATAAACATTATTAATATTATCAATAATTCACATTATTAATTTAACATTTATAATTTAATCTAATAAATTAATAAACATTATTAATTTAATCTATTAACATTACAAAGCATATTCTAAAATATTTCATTTTTAGTCATGCAGCATTTTATTTTGCTATTTGTGTATGATCTCTGGACAATGTTCTCAAATTTTAAATATCTTAATAAATTTTTGTCATACAGAAAACAAACACTTAATGTTTTATTTTTTAGAATGAGTATACATTTTTAGTAAATGTAACTATACGGGACCACAAGATGTATAAAAAGTTAGAATTTTGTAATTTTTACAAAACTTAGATTTTAAATTTAAAAATTACATAATCTAAATATTTTCCTTATTTAAAACATTTTTTTTAATTGGAGTCTATGACCAACAGTTGTAAAAACAAAGATTTTTATGTACAGTATATTATTGCAACTTATCTCACTTGTCTGACAGTAACATCAGAAGAATTCCTTAAATTTTGGCAGCTTAGAGATAATACTGTATCTTTAAATGGCTCTGCCAATTTTGAAGGAGAATACACCCTCCAGGAGATGGCCCCGAGGGTTTATGGTTTACCACCCCTTCTCCTATCATCAAATCACTCGAGAGGACTCACCATGCATTTTAAATGCACTCATACTGCAAAGACACTATACACTTACAAACATCTAAGCCTTCTCCAGGATTCAAATGCAGGGAGATCAATACGGCAGCCCCCATGACTAACCAACATACTGACCAGGGTGGGAACATAGTCAATGCACATATACATAAAATAAAGTACTAAGTATAAATAACAAAATTAAAATAATTTTAGACAATAATATTCTTTTTTTTCCTTTAGAATAAACATATACTTTAAAAAAACTGCATGAAAAACTAAATAGAAACAAGTTTAAAAAAACTTGAGTTAATATTATTACTCATAAAAATACAAGGTAATTTTATGATGAGATTGTCATATTGTATCTTTGCATTTATATATAGATAACATCTATAAGAATTCAATACAGATGATTTATATAAGTATTTAAAATAAGACTTCTATGAAAAGTTTAAAATGGCAGTTATTTTAAATTTCTATGAATAACTTTGAAGGAAGAACATTATTAGAGACAGTAATTTAAAAATAAACACATATCAGAGTGAAAATGTTTTCAAATCACATTTATGAATATTAAATTATTTATCTTAAACTATGAATCTTAACTTACAGCTACAGTTAAAAAAAAAAAAAAAAAAAAAAAAAAAAACTAAATTATTCAATCAAGAAGAGCATAAGGCAATAAAGCAACATATCAATTGTAAAATAGAAGATTTTAAATAAAATTAATCAAAAGGAAATCAATAATTTATTACATTATATTAAAAAAACAAAAATTACCCTTTCTTTCTTTTAACAGATTTATTTTCCCAAGGTGGGTCTAGCACAACAAGGTCATACTGTGTTCCTAAATAAAAATTTGAAAAGACAAAAAATAAATAAATAAAATAAAGAAGTCTACATACACTATAATTATTGTTGCTAGAAGTACATAAATATGTAGTCATAAAAAATAACTTATTAATATCATAATGTGAAGCATTTTTTTCCTCATTTAAAAATAAATATTACAACTAATTGCAAGTACTATTCCTCAATAATCTTTATTGGTTCATTCCTAAATTTTTGGTAATAAATGAGCATGAATAATTGTTTATCTTCAGTTCTATAGTTTGAAGTTAAGTTAACCTTGTAAATGTCTTTACTAATAAATTTAAATAATATGCATAACTTCTAGAAATACCCAACATCAAAGAATTATATTCACTTTAGAAAGAGGACAGTTTATCACTATTTACAAAATTTTGTCCGAATAAACAATTAAAACACAACTTCAAATCTTTAAAACAGCCATTTTCATTTTATTTTTAACAATAACAATGGTAAAGCAAAAAATGGTAACCATGGTAATGCTTTGCGAGTGTGCAGATAGTCTCACAGAGGATGTACTAGCGCACATCACAGCACAAATAAAAAAATTTTAAACAATGGCACAAAAGTTCAATCTATTAGACATGCAATAAAGACTCAAAATAGTTGGTCTGAAAGGAGGGGGGAAAACAAATGTGAACCTAAAAAAGTCATATTCGCAAGAACAAAGAAAAAAAAACTGAAAGAATTCATTGCTACTTTGGTACTTCACTAAATATAAATTTAAATATCACATAAAGTAGAAGAGAGATTTCTAATTCTAGATATTTAGGGCTTAGAAAAAGTAAGTGATATCATTTACAAGAAAGTGAAACACAACAGTTGTCATTTTGTACCTTTTTGTACAATCATCTGAACTAAAATGAGAGTAAGGAAACAAGTAACATGTCTTCAGTGTTTATTTCACATGTGCAAATGATATGTGAACTTAATGATGTAGCAATAAGCATGCATGATTTAAAATTTAACTTTCCTTATCTATAATTAATAAAAATAAAAGAAACATTCAGTAAATGAGATGATAAAGGTAATGAATTATATGAAAATGATTTATTAAAAGCCTACTTTATTTATGCATACACACACACACAGAGACACACTACCCCCCCCCCAAATGTAAAATACTTTAATGTTTGTTTAAAATCATTCTTACTGCATTTGAAAAATAAAATTAAGACTAAAGTAAATAAACGACTAACTTAAAAAAACAGAAAAATGTACAAGATGTTGTTTCACAAGTACATTAGATATTAGTATGAAATTGGTAGACAAGTTAAATAAAAAAAATATAAATTAAAGATTTTAAAAATAAAAACAAAGCTATACTCTCACAAAAGAAGAACATCTTGAACAACAAAAATTTTAATCCATTATTATTATGAGAGATAATGTGCATCACCTTAAAACTATCCATGAAATAACATTATTTTTTGCAATTTCTTTATAATTTAACTATATTTGTTCTTTTTATTTACATGTAACTTATTTCTTTAACTTTATACTGTAATCTTTTAATGCCTTACAATAATCTGAAATTTTTTAAATAAGCGCAGACTAGAGCTTAAATTGTTCCGCAGATGGGCTCAGTTTCTTGGTTTTTGAGATAAATTATAATTTCAGACGGAGCACACAGGAGCCTTAAAAGAAAAAGCCTCCGGCACTTCTTTTGTGTAAGTGAACTACAATTTTAGGAGATAAATTATGTTTCAATAGTAAACATGCCTTAAAAATCAATTCTAACTTCTGAATGTAGGCCTGTCTTTCTCTCGCTTCAGGCCTCGCACAGAGGTTGAGACTTTTAAGGAAAGAAAAGCCCTGCAATCATTGTCAAAGGCTTACTCTGCAGGATGTGCAATGAATATATGAGAGCGGGCAGATTTTGTGTTCCCCAAAGTACTAAACATGATACCCTGGTCATGCAAGTTCCAGGATAGTGACTTAATACTGCAGAGCTCCTGTACACTTTCTGAATGATGTAACCAAACGGGGGTGAGGGGGACCTCTGCTGTCACTTGTACAGAGAAGTCTTATGTTGTTACCAAATCATATTCAGGGAAAATTTCTGCTTGATGGCTAGAATAAATTGACAGGACATCATGGTCAGATTCAACTCTTCCCTCTTCATTTTCAAAGCTAACTATTCCATCAAAATTTCCCTCCATATTCTCATACTGTTCCTAAAATTCTCATGATTCTTAGTGAAGCTTTAATCATTTTATCTTTTCTCCTTGATGTGCTGCAAAACAAGAGTGGTAAATGTCATCTCTTGGAATACAGTCAAAAGTCGTTAATCCGGACTCGTTGGGACTTCAGCGATTCCGGATTATCGATTTTTCCGGATTAAAGATCATCAGTTTAAATTTGGTAAGATGGCATGCAGAAATTCTAAAATAAAAAATATGAAACCGTAATTTATGAAATAAAGAACAATTATGATCTAAAGGGTATCAAACTTAACAAAAAAAGAAGCTTAATATTTAGTTGTTTACTTTATTAAACATTTCTTTCAATGTAAGTTGTTTAAGTTGCTTCGTTTTATGTGATAATACTTTCTCTTTAATTCTATAAACAGACATAATTTCTTGTTCAGTTACAAAGTTCCGCTGTTCAAGTCCCGTAATTGCTGTGCCGAGAATACCGACTAACTTGTCAATCGAAATTTTTTCGTTTTCACTAACCTCTCTGTCACCTTCTTCATGTCTTTATCCATTTTTTGCAGCAATTCCACTTTTTGTTTGACGGACATCGAAACATACTTTCGTTTTGTAGATCCTTTGGGAGCTCCAGCATCGGAAATTCTATTTGACAAAGTTCAAATTTACTTTTATAAAATTGTTCTTACAGTCTGCAAAAAATAATAAGCGCATCCAATTCGAAGATTAAAGAACAACACAATCATCAACATTAACTGAAATTGATAATTAGATAATTTTAGCTTATACATTAAACACGCACACGAAAACGTATTCTGCGCTTGTGCACACGCATATGTGCAGTCGTAAAGGTCTTACGTGCAGGTGTAAATGCCTTTGCGCATGTGTCAATGTGGCGCATGTGCAGAAAGTTTTTAGCTTTGAGGTCGGGATTATAGATCATTCCGGATTATGGGTGTCCGAATTAACGACTTTTGACTGTAGTACTTATATGTACAATCACTGCTTAAACTCAGATGGAGATCAGCTGAGCTGCTTTTTAGCTTCTAAGTGGAATTGTAATTCCAACCAAACCCCAAATAGAAGGCCAATATTTTTTTTCTTTAATTTTAAAATTAATTAATAATTATTTAATATTACATTTGTCTTAAAATTTCTTAATTTTTAGCTATTTTATTTTATTTTATTTTATTTTTTTGTTCCTCGCTGTCTTCCTTAGGGCTCCGGCACTTCTAATTTTAGAAATTAAGCCCTGACGCAGACGATAAGTGGCTGAAAAGATATTAATGGTTAGATTAGAAAATAAGAATTTATTTATTTATTAGCTCATTATTATTGCTAGGCTGCTTATTTTAGCCTAGCAGACTATTTTTTATTAGCCAATTGCAAAAAGTTTAGCACAGAGGCACTGTGCTTTGCCATAATGAAATCAAATTAAAAAAATAAAACATATATAAAATTGCTAACAAATGTAAAAAATAGCATAAATTTTAAGCAGAAGAAGTTTAGCATAAATTTTAAGCAGAAGAAGTTTAGCATAAATTTAAGAAGCAGAAGAAGTTTAGCATAAATTTTAAGCAGAAGGAAAAATGCAGCTGAACCGAAAAACATTATTGTGCTATAATTTTCTTTGATTTATAAAGTGGCATTAAATCAATAAGAATGTATTCAACATCTATAGTTAGCATTTGGAAATGAAGTTTCATCTTCTGCTACTATATTCAGATGATTTACAAAATTTCACAGAGTTCACAACTCTCTTCAGGATGATGAGTGCACAGAAAGGCCATTGTCAGCAATAATTCTCAGATAATATGTCTGCCATATGGAAAATATTAATCGATGGTAATCACTGCACCAACCAATGATACAGAAGGAACTTAACACTGGATCTGCTTCCATACATAAAACTATTCATGAAGAATTGCATATGAAAAAAATAGTTTGCCATTGGGTTCCCCGTAATTTAACCGAGCACCAAAAAGAGAAGCATGTCAGAATCAATAAAGAAACCCTTAAATTACTTAAAGTCGGTGGCCACTAAATTAGTTCTAAAATTGTAACTGGTGATGAAATATACATACCATTTTTTTTTTTTTTTTAATTCCAACACAGCAAGAAAGTAAGTTATGGGTCTTGGAAGGTGATCCACACCGACAATTTGAAAAGACAACGCGCCATGAAAAAAGTAACGTTTGCCATTTTCTTCATAAGTACAGGTTGGTTAAAGCCATCAAGCTGGAAGGACAGAAGATAATCACAGCTAACTGGTATACCACTAAGTGTCTTTCAATATTCTTCAAGAAGTTAAGTGTTAGAGGACACAATCTTCACCATGACAATGCATCTTCTCATTCAGCAAGACTGACAGTAGAGTTTTTTGAACAAAAACACAAAGTGACAGGGCATCGACCCTATTCACCTGATATAACTATGTGTGACTCTTGGTTATTTTTTAATCTAAAAAAGAACTTATGTGGACATTGTTTTCATTCTGAAGATGAGATTGATGAGGCTATAGATGCATTTTTTCATTAATTTCAAGAAATGAATGACTTGAGTATTTAATCCTTGGAAAATTCGCTATACAGAAGTGCATTGATGCATTGATGCTGCTACTCTGAAAATTTTGTATGCTTAACTTAAAAAAAAACCTATGTGTATCTCAAAGATTTCAGAGTGGCCCTCGTTTAAAATTTTGTTGGCCTACAAGTGTCTTAGGAGTAAAGTTAGTAAACACTGGTAGTTCCAACCTGGGTTCAATTTCAAGCGAATGGGCTGGATGCATGGGCATTTTCTTGGTTTTCCCTATTTGTTATGTGTA